CTGCGTCGCGCCGCGCTGTCCTGTGGCCGGCAGCACATTCCTGAGCCCGGTCCGGCGGACAGTAAGCCAGCGATGATCATGGCAACGGATGCGATGACTCCCGGCGCCGTTAGATTGGCGATGTTGGTGTCCTGCGTCCAAACCCATCCCGCCCACGCGAGGACGAGAGAGTAGACGAGAGCGAGAAGCCCCCATAAAACAGTCGCCACCCCGAGAGCGGCGAGGAGGACCTCCTTACACCCCAAGCCCGAGCAGCCCATCACAAAGCCACTCTCCGGTACCTAGCTAGGTACCAGGTAGCGCTCTGCTCACACGCGGCTCGCACGCGTAGAGTAGGGGTAGCGGGAAAGGAGGTCGGCTCTTCACAGCTGTATTTTATTTATTTTAAATGAACTCGGGGGCACGGGACGCGGCACAAACGGGCAGCTGAGTTGTATTTTTTGTTGTGGGCAAAACAAAACACAGAGCTCACACAGAATCACAACGGGAGGAAAGCGGCGAGTCGCAATTCCCGGGTGGGGTCCTTGTGGCGGACCACCCTGTCCAGAGAGGCATGGATGCCAATCTGGGGTCTTTCGACCGAGTCTAGCTGTGTTGAGAAGAAAATACTACACGTGCACACTTGGGGACGCTGTGTGCGGGGCGGGCCCCTGCACACAGCTGCCCACTGCTCATACTGCGCCACGCACCCGGGCTCGTGGCAGTACGAATGGCTTGTCAGCGACTTCGAGTCGATCGACCGCGAGAAGACTCCGTGGGTCATCGTCATGACGCATGCGCCGTGGTACAACTCGAACTCCGCGCACCAGGGCGAGGCGGAGCCGCATCGCGTGGACATGGAGGAGCTCCTGTACGACAACGGCGTCGACATTTTCATGAACGGGCACGTGCACTCGTACGAGCGCTCCATCGGTGTGTACAACGGCTGCCTCAACGAGTGCGCACCCAACTTTATCACCCTCGGCGACGGAGGCAACTACGAGGGCACCTACTACAACTGGATCCAGCCGCCGCCGTGGTCGGTGGTGCGCGAGTCGTCCTTCGGTGTGGCATTCCTGGAGATCGAGAATGCGACACACGCGTACTGGAATTGGACGAGGCAGGGCTGCGAGAAGGGCCCCGTCCCTGGCACCGACCAGGCCATCTCGGTCCTAGACGATGGGCCGCCCGACTGGGCCATCGACCTCGACCCCGAGTGCGAGGGCATGCTGGGCGGCGAATGGTCGACCGACCGCTTTTCCGCAGACCGCACGTGGATCGTTCGCCCCGAGCCCTCCAAGCGCAAGCCAGCGGCCAACTCCGCCTGTCCCGCCAAAAACGACGCGCCTTGCACTTTCCCGCCGTACCCGCCAGCCCCGCCACCGCCGCCTGACCCACCCCCGGCCCCGCCGGCCCCGCCCCCGCGGCAGCACCCCACTTGCAATCCCCGGAAGACCCGCCCTGGCTTTCCGCGAAAACCCGCCCTAACACGTGCATGTGCCGTCAAGCCCGGGGGGCCCCCTCCGGGGGGAAACATGCTTCTTCGGCCCCCATCCCCGCCCCCCGGAGAAAGGGCGAACTGCTATTTGCCTTCCCGGCCGGCTCGAACGAGAATCCCTTTAGGGGGAAAACTAGGCGGTTCCACGCTTTTCCTCGGGAAGAATTCCGGGGAAAGAAACCAGAGGGCCCCCCTTGCCAGCC